AAGATTATGACTCATGTCACTATGCCTCGCAATGGCCCTATGTATAACCAGGATGAACACACATCTCCTTTAAGCTTCCTATTGTAGGACTGTGATGATGGAAGCATCAGGAAAGCTGGGCTGCCTCCAGTCACCATGAGACTGCCAAGGACTTCCAGCTATTATTTTTAAGGGAAGGAGGCCAAGACCCATAGAGACAAAGTGACCTATGCTGAGTGGGTTTGGGAGCCCAGGATCTCTGATTCTTGTCCTTTCCTCCTCCTCCTGCACCTCTGTCGGTGCCAAGATTTATTTTTTCGTCTCCCTACCACACTCATCCTCTGCTCTTCCACCTTTGAGTGCCCAACGGCTTTCTCCTTCTGCTCCACTAACAACAGCAAAAGAAGCTTTTTCATTTTTCATCAGCTTGTTAATGATTTTCAGACCATAAATAACTCAGGCCAGCCCCCGCAGCAACACTGGACTTGGAAACTTGTGACATGCTGCTTGGCCAGCTCCAATATGTCCCGTGTAAAGCCCTCTCTAGGTTAATGGCTCTTCTTAAGGGGCCTGGGCTGCCTGGGCAACCTCTGACTTTCACTTAGGACCCCAATGTAAGTCTGAACTTCCCACCCCAACCCCCAAATGTGGTGGGCAAATCTTATTGTTCCCCCACTCAAAAATCTTTGTCTCTTTATTGTAAAGGTACAATCTGGTAAATAGGAAAAGATTTAGCAACAATCTGGTAAATAGGAAAAAATTTATCACAACCTTTCAAACAAACACTTATGGTCTAATAATGAAACACTCAGCATTAGTCTGAGTACGTGTATGTAATCTTTCCTCTGAAGTTCACTTTAATATGATACTGCCAAGGAGAAGCCACCACCCAGAATCTGGGGGTGGTGAGACAACCCTGAGGATGGTAGGAGAGGTAGGGAGACTACCTAGCAGGTCTAGACTTCTGGACTCAGAGCTCACAGGAATGATAGAGGACAGAAGGGAAAAGGCTATGGCTTGTCTGTACTTTAGTGAAAGGAAAAATAAAACCTTTACTTTTAGCTTGCCTGACACCTAGGAGAAGATAAGCTGATAAGATATTGGGGTACCAAATTATTACACATAGGCTTTTTTTTTTTTTTTTATAGATAGTGGGTTTGTTTGTCTTTGTTTTTTGGTAACAACTTTATACAGGAGACCTCAGAGATACTGCAAATTCGATTCCAGACCACAGCAAGACAGTGAATATCACAATAAAGAGAGTTACACACTTTTTTTTTGGCTCCCAGTGGGTATAAAAGTTATGTTTACACTATATAGTAGTCTATTAAGTGGGTAACCGCATTATGAAAACGTTTAACATATTGTGAGAATTACCAAAATGTGACACAGAGACCCATAGTGAGTACTATATGTAGGCTTTTTTTAGTACTTATTTTTTTTTCTACTTTTTTTAACTTGATCAAGAAGCATATTTACATGGAAGGGCTCATGCTGCAAGACTTAACTACAGTCATTAAGAAAGGGCAAGAAGAGCAGACTCCAGTGGGTGGCATCAGAGAATGGAAGATGTCACTAAAAGAAAGTTAAGATGTCAGACTTTTATTAGACAGCTTCCAAATAAAGAAATAAAAAATATTAGCCCACCACATTTCTTTGAATTAAAAAAACAAAAGGCTATCATTTGGCCTGGATAGTGCTATCATTTGGGTATAGTGACTATAGAGTCCTTCTCAAAGGGCTGGAAGCAAAAAGATCAAGGTTCTAGTCCAGATGCTGCCAGTGATGAATTAGGTAGCCTTGAACACATTAGTCCATTTCTCTATAACTCAGCATCTTCATCGTTCACAAAAGGAAATGTCAGGTCCTACTTTCCCTAGGATAGGTATGAACAGCTGAACCAGTGCATCAAGAAAGACTGCAGAACAACACTGCTCAGACAGGTAAAGGGAGGAGATGTTGTTGTTGTTATGTGCCGTCGAGTCAAACCCAACTCATAGCGACCCCTCCTTGGGTTTCCGAGGCAGTACCACTACGGAAGTAGGATTGCCAAACCTTCCTTCCGAAGGGAGGAGATAGCAAGAAATAAAACAAAGCCAGTTATAAGAATGCTGGACTCAAGCATTGACTAAGTAAGAAAAAAGTGAGTTCCCCATAACAATGCTGTGTCCCAGAAAAAAATGTCTCAGTGAGAATCAGGGGACTTTAACAAGTGTGCCAAGTCCATTCATCGGAAAAAGAATTGTCTTTTCAAAAAACAGTGCTGAGACAACTGAATTTCCACATGCAAAAGAATGAAATTGGACCCCTACCTCATGCTATATACAAAAATAAACTCAAAAGAGGTCAAAGACTTAAATGTAGGAGATAAAACTATTAAAAGAAAACATAAAGGCAAATCTTGATCTTGAATTAGGCAATAGTTTTTTAGATATGATACCAAAAGTACAAGCAACAAAAGAAAAAATAGATATATTGAACAATGTCAAAATTAAAAACTTTCATGCTCCAAAGGACATCATCAAGAAAGTGAAAAGGCAACCTATGGGAGAAAATTTTTGTAAATTATATATCTGATAAAAGATTTGTTTATAAAATATATAGCTCATACAACTGAAAAAGACAAATAATCCAGTTACAAATGGACAAAAGATCAGAATAGACATTTCTCTAAAGAAGATGACCAGTTAGCACATGAAAAGATGCCCAATATTATTAACCATCAGAGAAATGCAAGTCAAAACAACTTCACATTTACTAAGATAATCAAAAAGACACAAAGTAAGTATTGGTGAGGATGTGGAGAAACTGGAAGCCTCATACCCTGCTGGTGGGAACGCAAAATGACGCAGGCACTTTGGAAACTGGCAGTTCCTTAAAAACTTAAACACAGGGTTATTTTATGATCCAGCATTCCACTCCTAGGTATATCCTCCAGAAGAATGAATGCATATGTCCACACAAAAACTTATACAAAAATATTCATAGCAGCATTATTCATGACAACCAAAAATAGAAACAACTCAAATGCCCATCAACAGATGAATGGGTGAACAAAATGTGCTGTATCCATACAATAGAATATTATTTATCAATAAAAAGGAATGAAATATTGATATATGTTACAAATGAATGAACCTTGAAAACATACTAAGTGAAAGAAGTAATCACAAAAGGCCACATATAATATAAACCCATTTACATGAAATGTCCAAAATAAGCAAATCCAGAGAGACAGAAAGCAGATTTGTGGTTGTTTACGACTAGGGGAGTTGTGGTAGGGGGAAATGGAGGGGAGGCGACTGGTACAGGGTAGAAGGTTTCTTTCTGGGGTGGGGGGGAGTGATAGAAATATTCTAAAATTGTGGTGAAGATCTTACAACTCTGAATTTATTAATATATTAAAATCATAGAAGTATATACTTCAAATGGGTAAACTGTATTGTATGTGATTTATATTTCAAATGTGTTATCCCTTCCCCATGAAAAAGAAAAGGAATCAGGGGCCTACTACTCTCCCTCTGTAGTAGTACCACACTTGTTGTCTCAATACAATTATCAATAGATCCTCCTTTCACTTTCAGAAGTGTACTGGCTTGTATGATAAATTTCTGAATACCCTGTCATGTCACTGTTTGACATTATCCTATCACTGTGATGTCAGACAGGTGTGCTTTGCCCCTCTGTAATATGAAGTCTACTCGGTTCTGATCACCTTTGAGCCTAGGAATATATCCCCCCAAATTTCCACTTCAGAAGCTGTAAAAAACTGATCAGGTTCACCATCCTTTGGAAGATGAACCTAAATTACAAAAAAGCCAAAGACCTGGGCCAGTCTAGATTACTGGATCCCAGGAACCATAGGTAAGACAAAGACTAATTTCTGAATCTACCATATTTACTGATGTTTGAATTGCCTTGCAACTATGCCATTAAGAAAGGTGATCTAACCACTTCGATGCAGGCAAAATACCATAAACATACCTCCTACAAATGACAAATGATAAAAATTTAAATGGGGGAGGAGAGAAAAGGGAAATACAATGTCCCTAGGAAACTTGGCAAATTAAGCAGTGGTAAACCAACTCTTCCTCAAATGAGATTTTGTAAGCCCATCTAAGATGCCTTGGTATTAAGAAGGTTAAGGTAATCTGATGATACAATGGAATGCTTATTTCCTATTCCTCAATTGGGGGGTGGGCAGGAAAAAATATATAAATACACACACACCAGGGTAGGTCAAGAGAAACCATTTTGTTCTCATCTTTTTTCTATTTAGGAGAATGTGCCTAAAAATGACCCCTTCTCTCCCTGACATCTATGTGGCTGATCTACATGTACATTGTGGTAGATCACACCAATGCAGGGATATGAGCCCATTTTTGGTTTTTATAGTAGAAAATCCTTAAAACAAGGTAAAGGTGAAAGAAGCAGAAGGCACAGAAATAACCCCATTCCCAACAATCCATCCAAGAAAAGGAAAGATGGATGCTCATTAGGGTTACTAAGAAGGGAAACAAACAGGATGATAGGAGAATTGTGGCAGACCATCCACTACTGTCCAGTTAGCAGGCCTGGTCATGGAGCCAGTTACCAGAGAGGAAGCTGCAAGTATGGGGGTGAACCAGAGCTTTTTCCAGAGGCAGAAGAGGATCAGAAGGAAGTAATACAAGTGGCACCCAGACACCAATGACTCAGTCTTCATCTAAGAGGACAAGGGGTCTCAGAGAGCATGCCCTCAGTATTTGCCTCTTTGGAACATCAGAGTTGGGAAAAAGAACCAGGAACAGTGCAAAAGCTGAAGGCCAGGAAGAAGGGAAAGAGGAGCCTTCAGCTTTCTGTAGTCCAGAAACTGTGTGACCATGGGCTTCTGCTGATCGATGATCTGTAGCTGTCAGGGTCTGTGCAAGGTCCTCCTTGCCTCTGCTAGCCAGGCAAGCCACCTTTGACAGTGGTGTGATTTCTACATCCAGGGGGTCTTAGGGCTAGACGTTGGAGACAGACGCACATCCTGATTCTGCTCAGAGTCCACATTTCAGGATGATGTGGTAGCCGTCATTGCTCTCAGCTGGAAGAGAGAAACACTGGGCATTTGTCAGGAAGACAGGAGCAGTGTTGGGCATTTGGGAGTCATGGAAGACATGAGACTAGGGTACCAGCAGACATCCTACTATGAATATTAGAAGATACTACTAAAATAAGAGTGTAGACAGCAAAACATGCTGATAAAAGCTGAGATTTCAATCTGTGACTTAGCATCTGCCTCTTAGTTTCTTTTTTTACAATGGGCCCTTCCACCATAGCCTTATGGACCCACGGCCACAGAGAGTTTGGACAATCTGTGGTTCTTCGGGAAGTTACAGCCTCCAACCCTGAGGGCACTCATTGTCTAGACCCATAGAGCAAGAAGACAAATGGCCTCATTCACAGTTCAGGGTCTAAGAGCCAGAAAAAAAAAAAATCAGTTGCCATTGAGTCTACTCCAAGTGGGACCCCATGTGTGTCAGAGTAGAACCGTGTTCTGTAGGATTTTCAAGGACTGATTTTTCTAAAGCAGATCGCCAAGCCTTTCTTCCAAAGCACCTCTGAGTTGACTAGAACCCCCAAACTTTCAGTGTGTGTGAGTGACTGAATCATTTGTACCTCTCGGGGGCTCCTATGACCCAGTAAGAGGGCTGTAATTCTGACAAACCCCATGCGCCCACTCTCCCAGGCCTAGGGAATGCCTTTCCTTTCTCAACCTTTCCTGAATGAATATGTTTCTGCTATACTAGTTCTTCCTTTAGGAGTGCACAAACATGCTGAAACTCCTCTCACACACCTTCTGCAGCTAAGCCCTGGTCCCTTCCCTTGTGTCCTCATTCATTCTAACTCTAGTCTCAGATGTTGTATCTACCTTCAGTCTCCCAGGAGACTTTCATTTTCAAAAAACTCAAGTTTATGGTACTTCTACTCAGCATTAAGGAGCTCTGGTAGCATAGTGCTAACCAGAAGGCTGGCAGTTCAAACCCACCAGCCACTCCTTGGAAGGAAGTTTGGGCAATCTACTTCCATAGTAACACCACCTTGGAAAACCAAGGAGGGGTCACTATGAGTCAAATCGACTTGATGGCAGTGAGTATTCCCTGAGACTCAGCACTAAGTGAGTTCACAGAGAATGCACTCCTTGGTCCAGGACTTCCCTTTTGGGCAAGACTTTGGGGACAATTTCATGAACTTCTAACATAGGACTGGGTTTCACAGGAAGTTTGTGTTTCCTTTTCCTCAGGGGATGTTCCCAGGTAAACTTTCTCTCAAGTGGCCACGAGGTAGGCCTTCCTCCCCTATCCAACTGTGCCCTCCTTCTTTAACTCCAAGGCACACAGTCCACAGACTTCAACTAAAGGAGAAAGAAAGATAACAGGAGGTGGCAGTGGTCTTTACCTTTTAATGTGCTGAGGATAAAACAAGATTCATCTTGGAAATTCTGCACCATCTAAAGGACAAGAGAGAAAGAACATGTGCTCTCAACAATGGGTCCATAACAAGAAAAGGCACTTGCTGAGTATGACACAGCCACCAGAAGTGATACTGTCCCAATGCTCACAAAAATTAGGAACATGCTCATACTGTTTCATTCACTGAGAAAAGGATGGTACAAATAAATGCACAACAGGATTGTCACTTAAAGTTGCAACAAAAAATGAAATATAAGGGAAAGAAAGACACCTGGAAGGGAATCAAGATGGTAACATTTAACATGGCTAGGGATGTTGGTCCTCCTCCCAGTTCTGAGTCGACTCCAACTTATGGTGACCACATGTGTGTCAGAATAGAACAGTGCTGCACAGGGTTTTCAAAGGCTGATTTCTTAGAAGTACATCACCAAGTCTTTCTTTCAAAGCACCTCTGGATGGTACAAAGTTAATACGCTCGCCTACTAACCAAAAGTTCAAGTTCACCCAGGGGTGCCTTGGAAGAAAATCTGATGGTCTTTGAGAAATGAGCCATTGAAAACCCTGTGGAGCACAGTTCTACTCTTACACACTTGGGGTTGCCTTGAGTCAGAATGGAATCAATAGCAACTGGGTTTTTTTCTGTTTTCTTTTCTTTTCTTTTTTTTAATGGGTGGTGAATGTTGTTTATTTCTGTTTTTGCTTCTACTAATCATACTTCGCTTTTCAATTCCTATAATGAACATTACACGAATAAGTATGTGAACAATACCAAGATAAAATCCTAAAGTGCTTTTTAAAAAAATAAGACACCTTGGTAGTAAATAGGATCAGAGTCCCAGAAGACAGAATGTAAACAGAGTGCCATTCTCTGTATTTGCAAATACAGCAGGAATCTCAGGGTTACTCAGGAGCCAATTATTTGAATATCTAATTTTAATTAATCACCCAGTGGCCTTGGACAAGCTAACCTTTTTTTCTTTCTCCATGGCCCTATCTGTAAAATGGGGCTGTTTCTATTATAAAAATATAACTGGCAAATTTTTTTCAGCCAACACCAACTTTGTTGAGGCTGCAGAGTAATGGTGGTGAAAGGGTAAATTTATGAGTTAAGATGACAGTGAAACAGGAAATGGTTAATACAAAATTCAAGCCACACCCTGGGGATGGAGGGATGTAATGTGAAATAGTCCACAAATCAGCCTCTAAAGGAACAGATAGCATGCTATTTCTTAACCTGATGCACGTGTTGTTGATGTTATTGTTGTTCTTGTTAGGTACAATCAGTCAGTTCCAACTCATAATGTCCCTGTATACAACAGAATGAAACACTGTTTGGTCCTGCACCATCCTCACAATCATTGCTGTTTGAGCCCATTGTTGCAGCCACTGTGTCAATCTGTCTAATGAGGGTCTTCCTCTTTTTCACTGACCCTCCACTTTCCAAACATGATGTCCTTCTCCAGAGACTGGTCCCTCCTGATAACATGTACAAAGTATATGAGACAAAGCTTTGCCATCCTCTCTTCTAAGAAACATTCTGACTACACTTCTTCTAAGACGAATTTGTTCATTCTTCTGGAAATTCATAGTATACTCAATATTCTTCATCAACACCATAATTCAAAGGCATCAATTCCTCTTCAGTCTTCCTTATTCATTGTCCAGATTTGACATGCATTTGCGGCAACTGAAAATACAATGGCTTGGACCAGGTGCATCTTAGACCTTAAAGTAACATCTTTGCTTTTTAACACTATAAGGAAGTCTTTTATAGCAAATTTGCCAAATACAATATGTCCTTTGATTTTTTGACTCCTGCTTCCATGGGCACTGACTGCAGCTCCAAGTAAAGTGAATTACTTGACAACTTCATTATTTTCTCTGTTTATCATGTTGTCACATCAGTTCAGTTGTGAGGATTTTTGTTTTCGTTTTGCTGATACTGAAGGCTATAGTCTGATCATCAGTAATCAAGTCCTCTTCATTGTTAGCAAGCAAGGTGGTGTCATCTGCATATTGCAGGTTGTTATTGAGTCTTCCTCTGATCCTGATGCCACCTTCCTAGATAATTTGCTCAGCATACAGATTAAGGACATATGGTAAAAAGGATACAACCTGACACACATCTTTCCTGATTTTAAACTACAGTATCCCCTTGCTATGTTCAGTCAACTGCTTCTTGGTCGATGTATATCGAGATTCCACATGAGCACAATTAAGTGCTCTGGAACTCCTATCTATAATTTATAATCCACACGGTTGAATGCCTTTGCTGTCAATGAAATTCAGGTAAACATCTTTCTGATATTCTATAATTTCAGCCAAGATCCATCTGATATCACCATTGATATCCCTCATTCCCTATCCTCTTCTGAATCTGGCTTGACTTTTTGGCAGTTCCCTGTTGATATACCACTGCCAACTGTTTTTGAATTATCTTCAGCAAATATTACTTATCTGTGATATTAATGATATTGCTCAATTAATTTCCACAAAAATTATCAAGATCAAGAAGGAGTCAAATGAACAGAACAAGGGGATACTTTGTGGTTTCAAATCAGAAAAGGTGTGCATCAGGATTATATACTTACTCACCATACTTACTCAATCTGTGCACTGAGCAAATAATCCAAGAAGACTGTATTCTGTTGGATCTTTCTTTGGAATGGCACAAACATGGATCTCTTCCAGTCAGTTAGCCAGATAGCTATCTTCCAAAATTCTTGGCACAGGCAAGTAATGCTTCCAAGTGTTGCATCTGTTTGTTGAAACACCTCAACTGGTATTCCATAAATTCTTGAAGCCTTGTTTTTCACCAGTGCCTTCAGTGCAGCTTGGACTTCTTCCTTCAGTATAATTGGTTCTTGATCATATGCTACTTCCTGAAATGGCTGGATGCTAACCAATTATTTTTGGTACAGTGGTTTTGTGTATTCCTTCCATTTTCTTTCCATGCTTCCTGCCCACAGATTCTTGCAATGCTGCAACTCAAGACTTGAATTTTTTCATCAGTTCTTTCAGTTTGAGAAATGCCAAGTATGTTTTTCCTTTTTGGTTTCCTAATTCCAGTTCTCTGCATATTTCATTATAATACTTTACAGTGTCTTTTTAAGCCACCCTTTAAAATCTTCTGTACAGCTCTCCTATTTCATCATTTTTTCCATTCACTTTAGCTAGTCTACATTCAAGAGCAAGTTTCAGAGTCTCTTCTGACATCCATTTGGGCCTTTTCTTTCTTTGCTGTCTTCTTCATGACCTTTTGTTTTCTTCATAATGTCCTTGATGTCATCCCATAACTCATCTTGTCATTAGTATTCAATGTGTCAAATCTATTCTTAAGACAGTCTCTCAATTCAGGTGGGATATACTCAAGGCCATACTTTGGCTCTTGTGGACTTAATTTTCTTCAGCTTCAACTTGAACTTCCGTATGAACAGTTGATTGCCTATTGAGTCGGCCCCTGGCCTTCTTCTGACTGATGATACTGAGCTTCTCCATCATCTTTTTCCAGCGATGTAGTTGATTTGATTTCTATGTAACCCACCTGGTGAGATCCACATGCATAGTGCACTTTATATTGCTGAAAAAAGTATTTGCAGTGAATATGTCATTAATCTTGCAAAATTCTATCATGCAATCTCTGGCACTATTTTATCATCAAGGTCATCTTATCCAACTACTGATGCTTCTTCTTTGCTTCCAACTTTCATATTCCAATCTCCAGGGATTATCAATGCATCTTGATTGCATGTTTGATCAATTCCAGACTGCAGATGGTAGTAAATATCTTAAATTTCTTCATCTTTGGCATTAGTGGTTGGTGCACAAATGTAAATAACTGTCATATTAACTGTTTCCTTGTAGATGTATGGATATGACCCTATCACTAACAGTGTTGTACTTCAGAAGAGATCTTGAAATGTTCTTTTGGATGATGAATGCAATGTCACTCCTCTGAATGAATGTAATTCCCCACACAGATATTTTAATTCTTCTTTAGACTGCACAAGTACACTCATATACTCTTTTACACATGATTTCTATATGTTGCAATATAAATTTAAAGAATATTTAAAATATACATACATACACACAACACACTCACAAATCGAAGGATAGCAAGACCTCTTTGCAAATTGAAAAAATTCAATATAATTCTATTGCTTGCTCTGCCTAAAATATTTTGAACGACCCACCCCATATGGACCCCTGCCCTCCCTGCAGAGCCTAATGATGCATGTAGTACATTTATTCTATACTTCTGACTTGCTCCCTCCAGGACTCCTGGCTGCCTAGCCATTTGGGCATGCAAAGCTCTAAGTAGAGCTTGCTCAGGCTTAATCAGTAACTCCTTTGTTTAATTAAGTGCCCTTGCACCCCAGGAGCTGGCTCTGCAGCTGACCAGTCTACCTCCAGTATGTCTGGTAGTTAAGAACCAAGTTTCCAATTGATTTGGGGTTAGGAAGCAAGGAGACTTCAGAGAATAGGAATCACCTACTTAAGCTGAGGTGGTATTTGAGTTCTGTTCTCTGCTTCACTTGCTTAACTGCCTACTCTTCAGAGAATAGGGCAAGCTGTGAAGGAAGTTCCTCAGGGACTTTTGAAAATGCAAGGGCTTTACATCCACCAGCCATTCCTCAGAAGGAAGACTGGGCAATCTACTTCAGTAGTGATACTCACTGCCATCAAGTCAGATCCGACTCACAGCTACCCCTCCTTGGGTTTCCGAGGCAGTATCACTAAAGAAGTAGATTGCCCAACCTTCCCTCCGAGGAGTGGCTGTCGGTAGCGATACTGCCTCAGAAACCGAAGGAGCAGTCGCTATAACTTGGATCTGACTCTCTGGCAGTGGGTTTGGTTTTTTGGTTTGGTGCCTGACATAAGAAGCTCTGGTGGCATAGTGCATAAGACATTTGGCTGCTAACCAGAAGGTCAGCAGTTCTTAACCTGCCAGCTGCTCTATGGAAGGAAGATAGAGCAAACTACTTCCATAAAGATTTACAGCCTCAGAAACCCAGTGAGAGTTGCTGTGAGTCAGAATTGATTCAATGGCAGTGAGTTTGGTTTGGTTTGTTGGTGCCTGACTGTTTTTTCATTTATCCTTACTACAACCCTACCATTATGAGGAAACTGAGGCTCAAAAAGGTTTAAAAAAATTTCCTAAGGTTGTTCAGCTACTAGGAGGTAATACAAGGTGGGAAAACCAATCCAATTCCAAAGTCCACATTTTCTTTATTTTTCTCAGCCACCATTCTTATACCAGATCGTCTCTATAATCCTCTTGGTAGTTGCTATCAAGTTGCTTCCAATTCACAACAACTCCATGCATAACAGGATTGAACATTTGTGACCCATAGAGTTTTCATTGGCTGATTTTCAGAAGTAGATCATTAGGCCTTTCTTTCTGGTCTTAGTCTGGAAGACCCACAGAAGCCTGTTCAGCATTATAGCAACACGCAAGCCTCCACTGAATACAGATGCTGGCTGTGCAAAAAGTACACTGTTGAGAATGGGTCTTTCACAGGGAAATCGAGAATTCTACCACTGAACCACCAATATCCTCCTATAATCTTCTACACAGTGGCTTTCAGAGTTCATGGACTTGCTGTAGGTTTTAAAGCTCTATTTCTGGAGAAGATGGATATCCTGTTGGCTCTAGCTCTGCAGCTAGACTGCCTGGGTTCCCACCACAACCTAACCTCATACCAACTATATAGCAATAAGAACTGATAGCACCCAGCTCACACGGAGGCTCTCTGGGTTAAATGAGTCAGGTAAGAGTGCACTTTAGAACAGTAGCCAGGGCAGCCAGCTCTTAATGCACTTATTTCTATTATTATTAGGAGGAAGGGTGCCAAAGTCAAACAAACATAAAAACCTCTCTCTAAACACGTAAGGGATGTCTAAACTTGCCACAAACCTATTTAACAGTCACCTCCTTAGCCATGAATGGGGTCAGCCCACCCAGAGGCACAATTCCAATAGGCTCTCCTCAATTCCTATGTCCTCTCAGAGGCTGCTTTGCCCTACACAGGTTTGCAGTATGAGGGACATTCCAGGAACACTGTGGTGCCTTCACCTCTCCTGCTAGCCACTTCTTCTACATCACTCAATACCCACTGCACCTCCTCTCTCCCTGAAGGCCTGCATGGGGGCTGCTGCCCACCCTGAGTGTGTGGTTCCCTCCTTCTATAGCTGGATTCTAAGCTCCTGAGGGCAGAGATAGTTTGTGCTCCTGGTTCTTCATAGCACCAGGTGGGGTAAAGAACAGGTGCTTACCAACTATTCAGAGAATAGACTTCTCCCTCACAGCCCTCCACACAGCCACTGCAATCAAGAGCAGAGGGCATGCAGATGAAACCTGTTGCTATCTTTGTAAAGGCATCCCACCCCTCACTGGGTATATCTCTGATCCAAGTTTCTGGACTCCGCTCCAAGCCAAAAGCCCCCCGTCAGTCAAGAAGGGGTGGAATGACAGTCCTCACCTCATTGTTCACCACCACGTGGATACCTGTGGGTCCCTGACGGTAGACTCGGTGGATGTGCTGAGGGGAGATGCTGTACAGATTGGCAATCTTCTCGATCAACTCCAAGGTGGTCAGCTCTTCCAAAAAGATGGCATGGTACACTGCAGAAGGAAGAAAAGGTCCTTTCTAAAGACTAAATCCCTGGGTTTTAAATGGCCATTGAAATTAACATAAGCTTGCTTACCCCCCACCTGAGAAATCAATAACTTACTTGTAAGGATGTCATGCCCCAACTGATTGGGTGAAAACTGGCTGCACTGGGTACCTAGAAGTCACACAGCTGAGGGTGCTGGTGCCAGGCCCTGGTGCAGCTGCCCACAGTGAAAAGACACTGAGTTGTGGTTCTTCCTGTCTTCTTCAGTTTCTCTTGGGGCCCTTATGTAAAATGGAGGGGTTCCTGGACCTACTCCACATCGAATGACACCCATTTGAGGGTGGGTGCTGGAAGAAGTGCTGGCAGAAATCTGTGTTTGTAACAAGCTTCCAGTGATTCTGGGATGCAGCCAGATTACAGCCCACTGCAGGGAGGGAGAAGGAAATCCCATGCCCCAAGATCTTTTCCATTGTTGAAAGGGATTAGTGGTGCCTTCAGGTGGCAGAGAATGAAACTGAAAGGTGACTTTCTACTAGACAGTGAAGAAAAAATCAGCAGCTCTCCCCCTGGCCCCTTCCCCACCACACAAACAGTACTCAGGTGGCTCAGGCCCTTTGATCACAAAGGGAACAGGGGGATACACCAAGAGTATGTGTGCTGCCAACAAGCCAGAAGGTAACATGACTTTCTTATACAAAACCCAAACCAGCAGGGTATGATCAAGCTCCCCAGGTGGCCTGGGGTGGGTAACACAATTTTAAGGGAGCCCCAAATTTCCAAAAGTAAAATACAACTGGATTAAATTAGAGGTTGTCCAATTTCTCCCTTAACTAAGGAAGCCTTGGTTCAAAATATCTCAACAGAGATCCAATATTAAAAAAAACAAAGAGAAGAGTGGCTCCTTCAAAGTGGATGGAATAAAGGACCTGGGGTTAACCATACAACAGATTCAGTTTTCCAGGATTTCAAATATATTCAAAGAATATGGTTACTACATAGTGTTTCTTCTAATACTAACACCAGGTGAGAATCCCAGGACTCTTTTAGAAGACTCCTTTTATAACGTAATTCTAATTGTACTTCCTTTTCTCTTTTCTAACTTTTCAGAGCAACTTCTACTTTTTCTGATTTTATTCTAAAACAAATTGATTATTTGCAAAAAGAATCAGAAGGATGATAGGCTGGCACTGGTGTAGCTTTTCATCATTGGCCTTTTCTGTCCCCAGCTGAACTTGGCCACTCAGAGGTGCTTAGAGCACTCTGAAAACATCAGAGGCTCAAGAGCAGACAAACGTGAGTTCAGATCCTCTCTTCCCTCCACTGGAAGACCTTGGGCAATCTCTACAACTCCTGGAGCTTTAGGGTATACAATGGGGACAGCACTCACACAGAGATGTTGCAAGGTTAAACCACGCAGTGGGCATTGAAAACTGCATGGAGCAGAAGCAAACACCGGGCTGCTCTTTGTACATAGGTGGGAGCCCACAAGGCTCAGACTTCCCTTCACAGGCTACTAGTCAAAGAGAGGATGTGAACATTCACTAGAGATGGACAGCAGTCAGGTGGAGGCTATAAAGCCAGGTGCTAAGGTCTGAATATTTGGATCTTGGCTCTGCTACTTACAACACTGTGGTCTTGGGCTAGTCAACCACCCTGTTCATTTTCCTTCACAGTAAAATAAAGATAACAGCAATGTCTATGTCATAGGAGGACTGTGAGAAGCAAATAAGTGCACATATGGAAAATGCTTAGGTAGTAGTGTCTTTGCTCCAGAAGAGGTGGCTATTCTTAATAATCTGAGGGACTCCCTTTCCAGAAAGGCAGGCAGACGGGAAAGTCTCTCTCTTTCTCTCTCTCTCTCTGTGCAGATGATGGTGACACAGTGCTTGACACTCATGTACTGAGACAGGGGCAGCCCATTAGACCAGCAGGACTCATAGGTACTCAGGAACAAAGAGTTTTACATATATCACCTCATTTAAACCACACACCTCTAGAAGGTAAATAGTATTATCTTTATTCTACACAAGTGGAAACTGAAGCAAAGGCCTTGATACCCAGCCAAAGTCGCATGGCTAGTAGGTGGTATGGCCAGCACTGGTATATAGGTATGGTTGACCCCAAAGCTTCTGTCTTATTCTTCATCAAACTGCCTCAACACTGGTAACCCAAGAGTCATGTACTCCACAGGTACTCTGGGATCTTCAGCTGTGACCCTCAAGGCCTGTGTGGCAACCAAAGCAAAGGGGAGATTCATATGGCTGGAGGACAAGCACAGGAGGAATTGCTCAGGTAACACGCACTCAGGAAAAGTTCAGCTCCCAAGAGAGCAGCAGTTGAGCATCACTGGTCCTAGCCCTTTGTAGTTTGATCAACAGGGGAGAAACCTCAACTCCCAGTTCTGATCCATAGCAAAATGGCCTTGGCAGGGTACAACCCTTCTCTGCACCTCAGTTTCCCCAAGTGTAAAATAGGCTAGACCAAATTTTGGGAGAGGCCTCCCATTCTAATATTTCAATTTCATGGTCAAGTTTAATTAAAACCCATTGTACATGAAACCAGAGTGAGGCCAATCAGAAGGAAGATTGAGCAATCGAATTCTGTAGTGATATAGCCTCGGAAACCCAAAGAGGGGTCACTATGAGTCAGATCCGACTCCATGGCAGTGAGTTTGGTTTTCAGTTTACATTTCCTCTGTTACTCTGCCCCCTGCATCCCAGCCCCCTAGTAGAGGGGTTCCCTAATAACTCACCACAGAGGCCACTGTCCCCACCACCATCCCGCTTCTGCTGCAGGGGGACCCGGTTCTGCTCCAGCTCCTGGCAGACATAGATAGTCATCTTTGGTCTCACATTCCTGGCAAGAGAGGAAAGACATTGCAGGTAGGGTAGATCAGGCTCTGTTGTTCCAGAACAGAGGATTTACACAACTTGCCTGGAGATAAGGGACTGGACAGAGATGATCTCCCACCCCTCCACCCTCTACCCCACCCCCAGATCCTGCCACTCCCAAGAAGTTGAATCTCAAAGCAGGATTCTCAGGATGATAATAAGAACACTTATGCAGGCTCACTCTATCAGGCTTTGCTCTCAGGACTCTACATGTATAACTCATTCCATCCTCACGTATGCTGTGAAGGAGTTAGGACCATCCTTACTTTATAGATGAGGAAAATGAGGCTCAAAGGGGTTAAGAGCTTTACCCCAATAGCACAGTCACAAGAGGTAGATACAGGATTCAAGCCCAGGCTCACTCTCTCATTCTAAAACTGCACATGTGACTGTTGAAATTTTAATTAAATAAAATTTAAAATTCACTACCAGGTACATTGTCCTCAATTCAACTGTTCAATAGACACATGTGGCTAGAGGCTATCACACTGGACAGAATGGCCATAGATTACTTCCACCATCACAGTAAGTGGTCTTGGTCTATATTGGTAACTACTACATGATGCTGAGTTATATAAGCCCATGGCTTCCCTCAGGGCAGAAACAGCTTTGAGACAAGCATCCGGAGAACCTGGGGAAATTATTAAGGGACCAAGATCCAAAGCAGATGGGGAAGGTTCCAGTCAATTTGAAAGGAAAGAGACCTTGAGACAGGATCTGCTGCAGCCTGCTGGTGTCTTGTATCACTGTCTCACTGTCCTGCAATGGCCCTGGTGCCCCTCACCACACCTGCTCCACCTGCATTTGCCCCTACACTGCAGGGAAGAGCCAGCCTAAGCAGCATTTGTTCCACCAACCAGCCCACCTTGTGTGGCCAGGTGGCTGCCTCCAGAAGCTCCCCAGGAAGCCGACACTCACCTGCCTTTAATGGCATTGAAGAGCCGGATCCCATCAGCAGGGCCACAGATTTGAACCAGATCATCTCGGGACATCTTCAGCAAGTCAGCACCTAGGCAGGAAAATGGGGCCATATGTTACATGGGATACAGAGAAACAGCTCCATCCCCAAGCATCCTGTAGATGCTGCACTTGGGGTAGGGAATAGGGAAGAGGGGAAAATGAGAGCTTGCCTCACTCTCAGTATATGTGGGCATCAGTCTGGAGAGAAAATAGAGAGAGAGCTTGATGACATCAGAAGGTCACAGCCCAAGAACTGGTCACAAAAGTGAGTAGGACAGACAGATGCTTACAGAAACAAATAAGTCATTGCCTGTGACTTCTCCCATACTTTTTTATCCCATACTTTTACTGGGATAAATGTGTGTGCACTTTTCTACACTGTATTTCAATCTGAGTGTACCTGTGTGACCAACACACAGACCAAGAGGCAGAACATCACCAGCCCCTCAGAGATACCTCCTGCCCATCATGCCTCCTATCTCTGTAGTAACCAATATCCTGACTGCTCACAGCACAAGTAAGTTTTGCTTGGTTTTTGAAATTCACAGAAATGAAAATGAACACTATGCACTCTTCAATGTCTGGCTTTCCTCCCTCAAAGTTATGATTGAGGGATTCATTGGTAGTCTTAGTTACAGATTGTTCATTCTCATTATGATGTACTATTCCATTATGTTAATATAGCACAACTCAGTATCCATTCTCTGGAGTAGGCAATGATGACCAAGTCACCATGACATTCTCACACCTGTCTTCTGGTTCATATATGTGTGTGTACCCACTTGGTCTGAGCTCAGGAATGGACAACAGGTCACAGTGCATGTATATGTTTGGCTTTGGTAGGTACTGTCAGTTTTCCAAAGTATTGTATCTATGTACTGTCCCACCAGCAACCTATGAAGATTGGCCTCATGGTTAAAGGAACAGAGGTAGGGGCGTGGCAGGAATGAGGGGTCTCTGTGGTGAATGGTGAGGATTTGCCTCTTGGTCTGTGTGCTGGTTACACAGATGCATTCAGACTGAACACACAGCACACTGCATGCAGAAAAGTGCATGCACATTATTTGTCAATAGAAGTACAGAAGGGGGGTGGGGGGAAGCCAGGCACAGGCAGTGTGGACCTATTGGGTTCTATAAGCACCTGTCCATCCTACTCACTTTGGTGAGCACCAATCACTGAAATCTGACATTTCCTCTAAAATCATGTAGCTCTCTGCTATTTATCAATCTGTGTAGGAAGGTGAGGTTTCTCTAGTTTTGATCAAATCTTAATACAAAAATGTTTTCTTCCTGTCACTCTGGACTGACTATTAATGGCAATGTGCATTGTTTGGTTGACCTCTGTGCCCCCCAGCCCCTGGTTCAGGCCTTCTGTGTCAAGGGACAATCAGCAAGTGCTTCAAACCTTTCCAAGTAGGAAACGCCACCTTCCCTCCTCGTCTGTGCCTTCACCTCCATCTCCCAGGTCATAATTCTTGGGAACCAGGTGATGAGCAGCATTTTGGTAAGAAAAGTGTGTGGAAGCCTCACCCAATCTGCATCACCTCTCTTGGCTAGGGGCATCCTTCCTGGGCAGACCAGAGCCCACCCTCATAGGTAATGGGATCCTGATAGAGTATACATACTGACTTCCCTAAAGCCCCACGAGAGTGGGGACTTTCAAGAACAGGATCTTATGTCTCTAGCACTTGATGAGGGGGTTACTCTGCATTGTGTACAAAACCACAGCCCTGCCTATGGAGCAATTCATGCAGGTACTGGCCTTGTGAACTGCTTCTAAGACCTTTGTGCTTCTTAGCATTGCCAAAAGATGCTCACCAGAGAAGCTGGCGAAGAGCCGGCAGAACTGGGAGAAGCGGTTGCGGTGGAGCCACTGCTGGGCATCCTGGATGGAGGCAGATGGGAGGAGGTGCTGCAGGGCAGAAAGAAGAGGCCCTGAGTGGTTGCACAGAGACCCAAAGGGACAGTCAGCCCAAAAGCCCAGCTGTAAACACTTACATCACTGCCTAGGGGCAAGGTCTCCACTGGGTGGGTTGGAGAACTGTTGCTGAAAAAGAAAGAGAACTCATTATGAAAAGAGAGGAAGCTTCAGGCCACAGCTAGTCCCATCACCTGCCCTCATCACCTGCCAATGCATTCCCTGCCCTGCAAGTGTGTCATGAATTATTAAGCAGCACTTGTTTTAAATAAAATGAGTCCTCTAGAATTTCCTGGGTCAGAGAAACAAACATAGGAGCCAATGTTAAGTCCATCATTGTCCCTAATTAGCCCTCCTAAGTGGACAGGAAGTTCTGAAAATGACAGTGGTCTGGCCAATGATAACCCATCCATCCCTGAGTAGCCAGCAGTGATAACTGAGGCCCTATGGCTCTGGGTTTGTTTGTTTGGATCAGAGTTACTGCTAAAGAAAGGCCTGGCAATCTGCTTCCATAAATATTATAGCTAAAATTGCCTATGTACAAACAGTTGAATGGATATATGTTTTGTTGTATATATTTTCACAAATAAAAAAATATTGCCAAGAAAACCTTATGGAGAAGGTCTACTCTGTAACACATGGATTGCCATGAGTCAAGGGCTGACTTGATGGCAGCTAACAACAACATCCTACTCAGAGTTTCCACCCCAAGCCCCAGCCAAGGGAGGGGAAAGCTGACCCAAAGGACACAAGTGAAGCGTGGCCTCAATCCTCAGAGTAATTCAGCTGCAGCCAAACCAAGGATCATAACCTTAACATTTCTCTAACTGGTATCAGGACAAGTCACGGGAATCTCATGGGAATTATTCTGCAGTGAGAAACCACCCACAAGTTGTCACCTATTGTTGAGCAGACAATCTGTTTTTCCCCACCCCAAAGGAGACACACTCTGGTGCACCTCACAGACTTACTCATCAGGAACCGCAGACTTGAGTGCCTGGGTTGGTAGGCTGGGAGAAAGAGACACTTAAAAATGACCCTCACAGGAACCCTCCTCAGACTAGTCATCAGTAAGAGCAGCTGCACTTCATCAAATGTCTACAGATGCTGAGCATCTTACATATGCTCCTCCTGACCCCACATGGAATTCTTACTCCCCTTTGGCAGTGAGAGAAGCTCGGGGAAGTTTGAGCTTCAAAAAGATGCAGAGTTAAGACTATGTGCCTGAATCTAAATATGACATCTTTTCTATTTCTCCCCTCTCTCAGAGAGGCCTCTCTTCATCTTGGTAAATCAAGTTCATGGACAATCTCACTTTCCCTTGAGAAAACTTAAGCAAGAGCTTCAACAAACCTGCAGACAGAAAAAACAGTGCCTGAGCTTACCTGGCAGACTGCTTAGCTTCTCCCTGCCTCCATCCCTGCCCCATGAAAAGGACACACCCAGGAAGAGCCAGGAGGCTGCCTACCAGTCCTGTGCATGTGCTCTTCCCACGTCATTAAGTAAATGAGCCCATGTGTTTTCTGAGTTGGGTGGCCAACAGGGAGGCTAGTTTCTGCGTGTTATGAGCATGAATCCCAGGGCAAGAGAAGCCTAACCTGACATAGGTCATTTGGTGCATGAATACAAAGGCAGAAACAGAACAAGACAGCGTCTCCTGGTGGCTGCAGCCCTCTGAACAACGCTTTCTCAAGGCCCCATTTGTCCAGGAGGGCCATTCCTCCCTGGGAGATGCCTGGCAGATGATCTCAGAGCCTATCTTACCACACCTCAGGCCAGCACTGGCATTATTGTTTGGAATGAGGAAGGAAATTCTGAGCTGCTATCCCACAAGACAACATTTATAGATGTGTTTCTAAGAACAAAAGCTATACAAATGCCAGAAATGGAGGAAAAAAACACTAGAAAGTAATTCAAAGCTATACATTATAAGAAAGATCCCTAATAAAGGGAAATGCATAAACAAGTATAAGGGCTAATAATAAGGTATTAATGTCTGGTAATTCTAATGTTCTGTCTTTTATGTTTTTTTAAATAACAATTATATAAAAGGCAAGGATAAAATTATGTTACTGGGCACATGAAATATAAACATTTAATTAATAATAACAGCAACAAAACGTGGGGGAAAGGAATGGTATAGGATAGAATTTTTTATGTTTCTATAGTAAGTTGGTACCATCTAAAATATTATAAATACAAGCTTTTAAATGTTATATTCATGGTAGCTACTAAGACAATATATTAAAAAACATACCCAAATGGAAAGGAGAAGGGAACCAAAATGCTCATTACAATAAAACAACAAAACACAAAAGCAATACCAAAGGACTAAGACAAAGGCTTAAAACACACAAAAAACAAAATGGTAGAAGTAAGTCACTTATCAGTAATTACAGTGTATGTAAATGAACTAAATGCTCCAATCAAAAGGGAAAGAGTGCCAAATGGACTTTTTTTAAAAAAATGATCCAATTATTTGCTGTTTATAAGAGATACAACTTAAACCCAAAGACACAAATAGGTTGAGAGTGAAAGGATGGAAAAAAATTCCATGCAAATAATGACCAAAAGAGAGCTGGGATGGTGATATTAATGTAAACCAAAGTAGACTTTAAGACAATATCTGTTAGAAGACATATAGATGTGCATTATGTAGTGATAAAAGGGTCAATTAATCAAAAACATTTAACAATCATAATATATATGCATCCAACATTGAAACACCTAAATACATAGAGCAAACACTGAAAAAATTGAAGGGAGATATTAAATAGTACTACAGTCATAGTTGGAGACATCAATATACCACTTTAAATACTAGACAGAACATCTAGAAAGAAGATCTACAAGGAAAACAGAGGACCTGAATGACACTATAAACCAACTACATTTAACTGACTTACACAGAACACTCCAAAACAGTACAGTATATATTCTACTCCAATGCACATGGATCATTCTCCAAGATAGAACATATTTTACATCACAAAACAAGTTTTCATAAATTTAAAAAGACTGAAATCATAAAATGTATTTTCTCTGACTACAACAGAGTGAAGTTAGAAATCAATAAAAGAAAAAAACATGAAAAATACACAAACATGGAAATTAAACAACACACTAGTAAATTAGGAATAAGTCAAGGAAAAAAATCCAAAGAGAAATTACAAATTTCTTAGAGTTAAACAAAAATGAAAGCAGAACATACCAAAAGTTATGGGATGCAGCAAAGGCAGTACTTAGAGGGAAACTCTAATAAATGCCTACATAAAAAAGAAGAAAGATCTCAAATTAATAGCCTAACTCAACAACTCCAGGAATTAAAAAGAGAAGAACAAAGTACACTTACACCTACCAGAAGAAAGGAAACAACAAAGATCAAACAGAAATAAATAAAATCAAAAACAGAAAAACAATAGAAACTCAGTAACAGTTGAGTTTATTGAAACTCATAACAGAAACTCAATAAAAGTTGGTTCTTTAAAAAGATTAATAAAATTGGCAAACCTTTAGCTAGACTGACAATGAAAAGAAAAGATGGAAATAACCAAAATAAAACATGAAAGCGGGAACATTATAACTGACACAATAGAAATAGAGAATTAAGGCAGAAAGTTATGGACAACTGGACAGCAACAACCTGGATAACCAAGATTAAAGGGACAAATTCTTAAGAGTATACCACCTACACAAACTGACTCAAGAGGAAACAGAAAGTCTCAACAAAACCATAACGATGGAAAAGATCAAATCAGTGATCAAAAACCTCCCAACCAAAAAAGTCCTAACCAGAGGGCTTTACTAGAGAATCCTATGAAACATTTAGAGAAAACTGACACCAATAGTGTTTAAATTATTGATAGGAGTTCTGGTGGTGTACTGTTTAAAGCATTCACCTGATAACTCCCTAATTCAATCTGTGAAATGAAAAATACCAAACTCACTGCTGTCAAGTTGATACTAACTCATAGTGACCCTATAGGACAGAATAGACTTCCTTCACAGGGTTTCCAAGGCTATAAATCTTTACAAAAGCAGACAGCTTCATCTTTCTCCCACAGAGCAGCTGATGGGTTTGAACAGCTAACTTTTTGGTTAAACCAAAACCAAACTCACTGCTGTCAAGTAGATTCTGACTCATAGTGACCCCTCCTTGGGTTTCCGAGGAGGTATCTCTATGGAAGTAGATTGCCCAGTCTTCTGAGGAGTGGCTGGTGGGTTTGAACTGCCAGCCTTCTGGTTAGCAATCAAATGCCTTAGAATATTTTAAACACCATGCCACCAGAGCTCTTATACATCAAACATAACCCTGATATGCAAACCAAACAAAGAAACCAAAAGAAAAGAAAAACTACAGGCCAATATATCTAATGAATATAAATGTAGAGATTCTCAACAAAATACTAATGAGTAGAAAATAACAGCATATTAAAAAGGTCATACACCATGACCAAGTGGAATTAATTCCAGGAATGCAGGGTTAGTTCATTAGTAGAAAATATATTAATATAATACACGATATTAATAGAACAAAGAGAAAGAACTACATAATCATCTCCATAGATGCAGAAAAAGCATTTGATAAAATCCAACAAACTTTCTAGATGAAAACCCTCAAGGAGATTGAATAGGAGGAAATTCCTCAGTATGATTCAGAGCATATATGAAAAGTCAACAGCCAATATTATATTAAATGGAGAAAGACTGAGAACTTTCCCCTTGAAACTGCAAATAAGACAAGTTTGCCCACTCTTACCACTTCTATTCAATATTGTATTAGAAGTCCTAGCCATAGCAATAAGACAAGAAAAGAAATAAAAGGTATCCAGATTGGAAGAGAAGATGTAAAATTCACAGATCATATGATCCTATACAGAGAAAATCTGAAAAAGTCCACAAGAAACTTCTAGAACTAATAGATTAATTTAGCAAAGTTGCAGGGTATGAGGTCAACAAACAAAACTCAGTTAAATTTCTATATACCAGCAATGAGAAATATGAAAAAGAAATTAGGGAAATAATTCCATTTTCAATACCATCTAACTGTGGACGTAAAGGACTTATACAATGAAAATACTGCTGAAAGAAATTAAAGAAGACTTAAACAAATGGAAAGAAGATTTGTGTTTGTGGATTGGGAGACTTAATATTAAGATGTCAATACTACCCAAAGCATCTATAGATTCAACACAATTGCAATCAAAATTCCAACAGCCTTCTTTACAAAAATGGAAAAACAAACCCTCACTTTATATGAAATGGCAAGCAGCCCCATGTTGAAAGAGAAAAACAAAGTACGAAGATTCACACATCCTGATTTTAAAACATATTATGCAGCTACAGTAATCAAAACTGACTTACACTGGCATAATATAGATACATAGACCAATGGAATAGAATTGAAAGCCCAGAAATAAACCCACATATCTATGGTCTATTGATTTTTGACAAGGGTGCTAAGTCCACTCAATGGGAGAAGAAGAGTCTCTTCAATCAATGGTGCTGGGAAAATTGGATTTCCACATGGAGAAAAATGAAATAGTATCCTTCCCTCACACCATACACAAAAATAAATTCAAAATGGATTAAGAACCTAAATGTGCAAACTAAAACCATAAAATTCTTAAAAGAATAAGCAGGGGTAATATTGTCAGGCCTAGCTTTCAACAAAGCGTTATCTAATTGCAAAAGTACAAATAGAAAAGATAAAACAAATAAATGTTGTTGTTGTTGTTATGTGCCATCGAGTCAGACCCGACTCATAGCAACCCCTCCTTGGGTTTCCAAGGCAGTATCACTACGGA